TGAGGCTAATATTTCCTGACTACAAATAGATGACATGACCCTGACATTCCTTGACACAGGCCAAATGACATGACAGTTTACACCAGCAGATATGTCATTGTCACAGGGATAAGAGACACAATCAGTGCAGACAGCCTTGCTTATCTCCACCTGGAAGCCTGCAACTAGTGCAGAAGACAGCCTTGCTTATCTCCACCTGGAAGCCTGCCACTAGTGCAGCAGACAGCCTTGCTTATCTCCACCTGGAAGCCTGCCACTAGTGCAGCAGACAGCCTTGCTTATCTCCACCTGGAAGCCTGCCACTAGTGCAGCAGACAGCCTTGCTTACTCCACCTGGAAGCCTGTCACTAATGCAGCATGACAGCCTAATATTTCCACCTGACTGCCACTAGTGCAGCAGACATTGCTTATCTCCACCTGGAAGCCTGCCACTAATGCAGCATGACAGTTGCTTATCTCCACCTGGAAGCAGCCACTATGCAGCAGACAGCCTTGCTTATCTCCATCTGGAAGCCTGCCACTAGTGCAGCAGACAGCCTTGCTTATCTCCACCTGGAAGCCTGCCACTAGTGCAGCAGACAGCCTTGCTTTTCTCCACCTGGAAGCCAGCCACTAGTGCAGCAGACAGCCTTGCTTATCTCCACCTGGAACCCTGCAACTAGTGCAGCAGACAGCCTTGCTTATCTCCACCTGGAAGCCTGCCACTAGTGCAGATGTTCCACATGTGTGGGTTTGGCGTATTTATGTTCGGGATCAGAGGGGGGGGGGGGGGGGGGGAGAAGTAACCCACTATTGCTTGACAAGCATATCGTAAAAAGTGACTTATTAAAGGATCTCTGAAATCATCATGTATTTTGAGCCTAAAGATGCAGATATCGCATCCTAGCTGTAAACAACAACACACCATGCCTACCACCTTTTAATGGTCAGCGCAGAAGAAGTATAGATGTGTCTATGGAACAGCGGAACACAAAGCAACCCCCTCTCCCCACTTTTTTTTCCCCGTGAATATCAGTGCGCTTCAGCATTAACTCATATTTCTTCCCTGATCTTCTGCATTCAAGAGATAGATTTTTAACCTGTGCATAATGGAATTTATTCTTTTGTGAAATGCATAATGTACTTAATATAACATATCCACTTTCCTGAAGCCAATCAAAAGTGATGTCTGTTAAAAACAAAAATACTTCAAATTGCAGCATGAAGTTGACCTCAAGATTTTTAGTCCAAAATTATGTGTTGGGTCTATACCTTTGTAACACGTTTTATGCCACCAAATAGTTCTGGAAAGATGTGTTAGGCTGGAAAACTCAACTTATATGTCACAATTGCTGAAATGCCTAGGTGAGACTGACCTACGCAGTCAGAAATGAAAGCCACGGGTCTGGGCTTTTCCAGTTTTCGACACGTCTGCTTATGTTTTAATGCTGGTTTTCAGCATATTTTACTTGTCTGTGTTTTTATTTAATTTGTACTTAAATTAAAATTTTATTGATTGTAAAATTCGGGTTTTAAAGTTATTTGTATACGAGGTTCTTTTTTAGTTTAAAAAAAAAAAATTTTGGAGGTATATATGGAGGACTATTTTGTAACTACCTCATCCATTTACCGTATTGTCAGTTACCTCTCATCCAATTGTCACCTGTTCAGTTAAAAATTGTCACCTTTTTACCTCTTCCAATAGTCACCTGTTCAGTTACCTTTCATCCAATTGGAGGTTAAATATGTCACCTGTTCAGGACTCACAGTTTCCACCTGTTCAGTTACCACTCATCCAGTTATTCACCTGTTCAGTTACCTCTCATCCAATTGTCACCTGTTCAGTTACCTCTCATTCAATCATCACCTGTTCAGTTACCTCTCATCCAATTGTCACCTGTTCAGTTACCTCTCATCCAGTTGTCACCTGTTCAGTTACCTCTCATCCAATTGTCACCTGTTCAGTTACCTTTCATCCAATTGTCACCTGTTCAGTTACCTCTCATCCAATTATCACCTGTTCAGTTACCTCTCATCCAATTGTCACCTGTTCAGTTACCACTCATCCAGTTATTCACCTGTTCAGTTACCTCTCATCCAGTTATTCACCTGTTCAGTTACCTCTCATCCAATTGTCACCTGTTCAGTTACCTTGTCACCCTCAGTTACAGTTACCTGTTCATACCTCTCATCCAGTTGTCACCTGTTCAGTTACCTCTCATCCTCATCCACCTGTTCAGTTACCTTTCATCCAATTTCACCTGTCAGTTACCCTCTCAGTCCTGTTCAGTTGTCACCTGTTCAGTTTTAGTTACTCAATTATCACCTGTTCAGTTACCTCTCATCCAGTTGTCACCTGTTCAGTTACCTCTCATCCAATTGTCACCTGTTCAGTTACCTCTCATCCAGTTGTCACCTGTTCAGTTACCTCTCATCCAGTTGTCACCTGTTCAGTTACCTCTCATCCAATTATCACCTGTTCAGTTACCTTTCATCCAATAGTCACCTGTTCAGTTACCTCTCATCCAATTATCACCTGTTCAGTTACCTCTCATCCAATTATCACCTGTTCAGTTACCTCTCATCCAATTATCACCTGTTCAGTTACCACTCATCCAGTTATTCACCTGTTCAGTTACCTCTCATCCAGTTATTCAGTTATCTTTAAGGTTAAGGTTGAGTTGGGAGATGTGAACCAGCCTCATTGCACACGGTTATAAACCATAAGTGCTCTGCCACCAGTACGGACAGCTGATAAGAAACTGTCCACCTGTGTCGCTGTTCGTACGTAACTCTGAGGCTACAGCGACGTTCCTCCATTTACCCTAGAGTGTCACTCTGGTTCCCATTTCCTAGAAGCTGGGTGTGAACCCTGGGAACCGCCCAGTTTTGAACACCTACCCTGGCTGCAGTGAGTCACAGCTGGATTTGAGAGCGAGCCTCCAATCGGCTGCGCTAACGCAGGCCATATGTGCCCTCACAGTTTCTTCATTAATATTTTGTTAGGTAGGTCCTGAAAATCTTCCACAGGAACTACTGTCTATTTCCGTCTAAAAAAACATTGGGGGTCATCTTCTGCATGGAATGTGATTACAATCATTGATTTCCTAATTTTTGGCTTTAAAAAAGTAGTGCTTGTCTCAGAGATGGATGTGAGCTATACATGGAAAAGTTCACCATTTTTTTTTCTTACCTGCCCGCTGCAGAAATCAAAGGATTGTGAAACTGTTCACTAACCTCTAAGGTTTAGAATTTATCTTGCACACATGAACATTGCTGAACTTTACAATCATTGTTTTCTGATCTTTTATTTGTTTATCAATGGATTAAAAAAAAAAAAAAAAAAATCAAAATAATTTTACCTCTCCAATAACACACACACGCACGCACGCACGCACACACACACACACAAAAGCATATTTTTGTCTACTGAAAGGTGAACACATTTTCACAGATTTTTCAAGTTATTTTCACAACATATACGTAATTATGGAAGAAATAGTTAATAAAAACATATTTCACAAATGTGAGCACACTTGCAATACTGAACCATTTCCCTTGTTGTTATTGTTTTTTTTTTTGGGGGTTATGTAATATCTGATATTTTGTGAATCATTTGGCATAATATTAAAGCAAATGTAAAGTATATGATGTTGTTGATTTGTGTGGATTTTATAAATAATGTGGTCAGATAGTTACAGTCTGGGCAGTAGCTGGCAGTTATGGTACACTTCAGTTGAGCTCTGCTACAAGGAAATACAAAGACTGGTCGACCATAAAAGAAGACAATACATTGATTGACACCACAACAAAGGAAGACAGTACAAAGACTGACACCACAACAAAAGAAGACAATACAAAGACTGACACCACAACAAAAGAAGACAATACATTGATTGACACCACAACAAAAGAAGACAATACAAAGACTGACACCACAACAAAAGAAGACAATACATTGATTGACACCACAACAAAAGAAGACAATACAAAGACTGACACCACAACAAAAGAAGACAATACAAAGACTGGTCGACCGCAAAAGAAGACAATACATTGATTGAGACCACAACAAAAGAAGACAATACAAAGATTGGTACCACATCAAAAGAAGAGAATGCAAAGACTGGTCCATCACAAAAGAAGAGAATGCAAAGATTGGTACCACAACAGAAGACAATACAATGACAAACGAAGACAATAAATTTAATAATTTAATCAATAATACAAAAAAAGAAAAAATGTAAGTCTTGCTTTTTCACCAAACCTCTAGATTCATTGAACTTAGATCTCTAGATTAACTGAACTAAGATTCCTAGATCGAGCCTCTAGATTAATTAAACTTAGATCCCTAGATTAAGCCTCTGGATTCATTGAACTAAGATCCCTAGACTCATTGAACTAAGATCCCTAGACTCATTGAACTAAGATCCCTAGACTCATTGAACTAAGATCACTAGATTCATTAAACTAAAATCCCTACTCTCATTAAATTAAGATCCCTAGACTCATTGAACTAAGATCCCTGGATTCATTGAACTAAGATCCCTGGACTCATTGAACTAAGATCCCTAGACTCATTGAACTAAGATCACTAGATTCATTGAACTAAGATCCCTACTCTCATTGAATTAAGATCCCTAGACTCATTGAACTAAGATCCCTGGATTGAGCCACATAATTTTGAAAGAATGATGTCTTTTACTGTAGCCAAAATATTTCAGGTTTCTTTTTTTTTAATTTTTATTTTTATTTTTATCTTCTTATTGTATTTTTGGTTTCTTTCCCAGTCTCTGGAGGACCTTGTTTTGTTTCTATAAAATATAATCAGTTCTTCTGTGTATCCATATCTCCGGTGTATCCACATCTCTGGTGTATCCTGTTCTTCAGTGTATCCACATCTCTGGTGTATCCAGGTCTTCAGTGTATCCACATCTCCGGTGTATCCACATCTCCGGTGTATCCTGATCTCTGGTGTTTATTGGATTTAAATGTAAAGTTGAGCGTAAATGAAAGTTGTGTTATAATTTGCTGTAAAGTGCAAGACCTGCCCCCGCTAATGTCAACAGGCCAAAGAATCCAGGTATCCCAGGTGCGTTTCGCTGAAAAAAACTCGGCCGTAGACGGTCTGCCTGGGCTTTCTGTGAGAAGGGGGAGACAACCAGCAATCATGATACAGGTGATCACAGGTGTTTGATGTATGTTTCATGTCTCCCTATGAGACGTGGTTCATGTGATGTTAAGTCTGGGTCTAGGCTCAACCTAATGTCATGTGTAAACAATGTCATGTGTGTACAACAATGTCATGTGTGGACAATGTGTCATATGTGGACAACATGTCGTGTGTATAATGTGTCATGAGTGGACAACATGTCATGTGTGGACAATGTGTCATGTGGGACAACATGGCATGTGTGGACAACGTGTCATGTGTGGACAACACATCATGTGTGGGCAACATGTCATGTGTGGACAACGTGTCATGTGTGGACAACATGGCATGTGTGGACGTGTCATGTGTGGGCAACATGTCATGTGTGGACAACATGTCATGTGTGGACAACATGTCATGTGTGGACAACATGTCATGTGTGGACAATGTGTCATGTGTGGACAACATGTCATGTGTGGACAATGTGTCATGTGTGGACAAAATGTCATGTGTGGACAACATGTCATGTGTGGACAACACACCATGTGTGAACAACATGTCATGTGTGGATAACACATCATGTGTGGACAACACGTCATGTGTGGACAACATGTCATGTGTTGCAGGTAATATAATATTGATGACATGACTCCTAAGTTTGGCAAATCTGGGTCTAGAGTCACATCCAACTGTTGTCTGTGTGTGGGCATGGATATGACCTGTTTACACTTGCTGTTGTGTGGGTGGTTGACTCTCTTGTGTGGTCGACTCTTTATTATCTTTGCAGTCAACTCTTGTGTATGTTATGTGTATGACATTCAATAAGGCTTGACCATAACTATGTAAAGTAGCCAGAACACAAACATTCAAAGTATTAAGTATAAAAAAAATCAAAGTTATAGGAATATCAACATTTGAAGTGTCTGTAACTTCTTTTTCTTTGTGTTCACCTGCTTTAATCTCAGGTGGAAAGTTCTGGCTGTTCATCCACTTTTGGATTGTAGTCTTACTCCAGAACTTGAGTTTTGCATGCACAGCCAATTTACTGATCTGGCTTATTTGTAAGCAGACTGTTGGTTCTTCGCTTCTCAGGCAGATACACTCCAGCTTTGAAGAAAACAGTTTGTATTAGTCGACTTGTAGGACACGCTTGTTAGGGAGGCAGGGGGTCTGTTCTGTTGACCCCCAGCATGGGGCCCCGGAACCCATAGAGGCAGACCTAGAAGTATAATCATTGAGATGATCAGCTAAGACAGAGGTCACATAACTGCATCTAGGCGTCCCCGAAATTTGAACTCCACAAGTAGAAAGGTCAAGTAGCCCAGTAAGGATGTTACAGGTGTCAGACACAGTAAGGATATTACAGGTATCAGACACAGTAATGATGTTACAGGTATCAGACACAGTAAGGATGTTACAGGTATCAGACACAGTAATGATGTTACAGGTATCAGACACAGTAAGGATGTTACAGGTATCAGACACAGTAAGGATGTTACAGGTGTCAGACACAGTAAGGATGTTACAGGTATCAGACACAGTAATGATGTTACAGGTATCAGACACAGTAATGATGTTACAGGTGTCAGACACAGTAATGATGTTACAGGTATCAGACACAGTAATGATGTTACAGGTATCAGATACAGTAAGGATGTTACAGGTATCAGACACAGTAATGATGTTACAGGTATCAGACACAGTAAGGATGTTACAGGTGTCAGACACAGTAAGGATGTTATAGGTATCAGACACAGTAAGGATGTTATAGGTATCAGACACAGTAAGGATGTTACAGGTGTCAGACACAGTAAGGATGTTACAGGTGTCAGACACAGTAAGGATGTTACAGGTATCAGACACAGTAATGATGTTACAGGTATCAGACACAGTAAGGATGTTATAGGTATCAGACACAGTAAGGATGTTACAGGTGTCAGACACAGTAATGATGTTACAGGTATCAGACACAGTAAGGATGTTACAGGTGTCAGACACAGTAATGATGTTACAGGTATCAGACACAGTAAGGATGTTACAGGTGTCAGACACAGTAATGATGTTACAGGTGTCAGACACAGTAAGGATGTTACAGGTATCAGACACAGTAAGGATATTACAGGTGTCAGACACAGTAAGGATATTACAGGTATCAGACACAGTAAGGATGTTACAGGTGTCAGACACAGTAAGGATATTACAGGTGTCAGACACAGTAAGGAAGTTACAGGTGTCAGACACAGTAAGGATGTTATAGGTATCAGACACAGTAAGGATGTTACAGGTATCAGACACAGTAAGGATGTTACAGGTGTCAGACACAGTAAGGATGTTACAGGTCTCAGACACAGTAAGGATGTTACAGGTGTCAGACACAGTAAGAACTTACAGGTTTGGCAACCTTGTCGTCTGCATCATCTTTCCAGTCTGAGTCCAGACCTCTGGATTTTAATACCTGTGAGAGAGTGGATAACCTGGTTATTGCAGTTCATTTTGGAAATGTCAGTATTCCCTCGAAGTCGGAATACAGCTGCCCATGAGGCAGGGAACAGCAAAACGGTTGTACACGCAAAATTCAGGTCCAGGTAAAAGCCAAAAGTCCAAGCGGACGACTAACCGGGACCTTCCACCGGAATTCACCACCGGTGAACGAAGAAGAAGAAGGAAATGTCAGTGTCATACATGATTATCATGCTATGCAGTTCTGGTTGATTGTGAAATGTCACTGTCAATCTTGGTGGTCATGTCATGCAGTTCTGGTTGATTGTGAAATGTCACTGTCAATCTTGGTTGTCATGTCATGCAGTTCTGGTTGATTGTGAAATGTCACTGTCAATCTTGGTTGTCATGTCATGCAGTTCTGGTTGATTGTAAAATGTCACTGTCAATCTTGGTTGTCATGTCAAGCAGTTCTGGTTGATTGTGAAATGTCACTGTCAATCTTGGTTGTCATATCATGCAGTTCTGGTTGATTGTGAAATGTCACTGTCAATCTTGGTTGTCATATCATGCAGTTCTGGTTGATTGTGAAATGTCACTGTCAATCTTGGTTGTCATATCATGCAGTTCTGGTTGATTGTGTTATGTCTTCTGTGCAGGGAACTTCCCAGTAGTTCAGTGGCAAGCTGTGCAGGCAATTGTACTTGTTCTGCTGGTACTGTAGGCCGGGCAGTTGATGGCTAAACATTGGAGTTACTGTCGAATATGAAATATTTATATAAAAGGAAATGACTTAATTATTGTACATCCTTTGTATAAACTGCACCACTTTCAACCCAGGATATGTTTAAACTGCACCACTTTCAACCCAGGATATGTTTAAACTGCACCACTTTCAACCCAGTATATGTTTAGACTGCACCACTTTCAACCCAGTATATGTTCAGACTGCACCACTTTCAAGCCAGTATATGTTCAGACTGCACCACTTTCAACCCAGGATATGTTTAAACTGCACCACTTTCAACCCAGTATATGTTTAGACTGCACCACTTTCAACCCAGTATATGTTCAGACTGCACCACTTTCAAGCCAGTATATGTTCAGACTGCACCACTTTCAAGCCAGTATATGTTCAAACTGCACCACTTTCAAGCCAGGATATGTTCAGACTGCACCACTTTCAACCCAGTATATGTTCAGACTGCACCACTTTCAACCCAGTATATGTTCAGACTGCACCACTTTCAAGCCAGGATATGTTCAGACTGCACCACTTTCAACCCAGTATATGTTCAGACTGCACCACTTTCAACCCAGTATATGTTCAGACTGCACCACTTTCAACCCAGTATATGTTCAGACTGCACCACTTTCAAGCCAGGATATGTTCAGACTGCACCACTTTCAAGCCAGTATATGTTCAGACTGCACCACTTTCAAGCCAGGATATGTTCAGACTGCACCACTTTCAACCCAGTATATGTTCAGACTGCACCACTTTCAAGCCAGGATATGTTCAGACTGCACCACTTTCAAGCCAGTATATGTTCAGACTGCACAACTTTCAAGCCAGGATATGTTCAGACTGCACCACTTTCAAGCCAGTATATGTTCAGACTGCACCACTTTCAAGCCAGGATATGTTCAGACTGCACCACTTTCAAGCCAGGATATGTTCAAACTGCACCACTTTCAAGCCAGGATATGTTCAGACTGCACCACTTTCAAGCCAGGATATGTTCAGACTGCACCACTTTCAAGCCAGGATATGTTCAGACTGCACCACTTTCAAGCCAGGATATGTTCAGAAAGAAAACACCTGTGTCCCACAGATTGGCTGCATAGACTACTCTGTAACCGCCGTATTCCCTAATGTGACTGTGCTATACGGCTGGATCGTGTTTGTGGGATTTTACTGCGGCTAGATTCTTATCATTTATATCAGGAACAACAAGCAGCCATCAGAGCAGCTGGTGAAACAGTTGTGAGGCAGCAGTGCATTCTCTCACCATACCTATTCAGTATATATATATATATATATATATATATATATATATATATATATATATATATATATATATATATATATATATATATATATATATATATATATATATATATATATATATATGTGTGTGTGTGTGTGTGAGAGAGAAAGCAAGAGAGAGAGAGAGTGAGAGAGAGAGAGGAGAAATGTCAAAAACGACCAGACTTGTGACAGTTATGAACCGTTGATAACTGTTATCAACCCTGTTCCGGAACTTCACTGTGGAGATAACACAATCCTCCTTTTGAACAATGTAAAGGCAATAGAAAATGTGATCAGTTCTGTCCCAAAAATGCAGTGAGAATCAAAACCTATTCCTGAATTTAAAGAAAACGAAAATTATGTCTACAGACAAAAACTGGCTTTCACCCAAAAATAACAATAAATGATGAAGAAACTGAAAATGTCACAAATTTGAATATCTAGGTTCTATAATAAATATCAATGAGACTGGCATAAATCAAAAGGATGATGGTTATAGCAATACATAGATTAAACAGCATTTAAAGTCCATGGTTAAACACCAGTAAACGAAATACAAATACAAATGTTGATGTGAGTTATGGACCATCTCCCAGTCCTTAAGACAGAAAATAGGGGCTTTTGAGCAGAAATGCTATAGAAAGATTCTTAGAATGCCATAGAGAAACAAGAGAAGAAATACCAACATTTTAAAAGATCTGAACATTAAGGAATATTGGCTAATAAACACCATCTTGTCTCAGAAGCTGAAATATTTTGGTCATATAAAGCGTCATGGCTGGCTGAAAAAATTATAGCAGAAGACATGGTACCTGGAAGGTGGGGCAGGGGCCAACCAACACGAAGATAGGTACAGGATATAAGTGACTCCTTGAGTATGAGAGTACACGAGGCGGGAGAGCTGGCGAGAGACTGAGTTTGTTTCAGGCATACTGTGATGGGAGCGACGTTCTGCAAAGGACCTGCTACATGATGATGAGCTGCTTATCTGAATAGTGTCCTTTTGAATCACCCGATTAAAAAAAGGGCGGGGGGAAGGGGGGTATTAAAATACAAGTGTATTTCTTCCACATAATCAGACATTATGCATCCTATAGATGTTTGTTCGTCAGCACAAGTCGCTGGTGTAGATGCGTGTTTCCATGGAGATCAGTGATCATAAACGTTGTCTCCTTGTTAGCGTTCGTTGCTTGTAAACTCTGAATGTTCTGGTTGTTCGTCCACTTCTGGACTTCGGCCATGATCTAAAACGTATTTTGCGCGCTTATCCGTTTTACATATCTAGCTTATTCTATGCAGACAGTTCCTGGCCTCTTGGGCAGGTGCAGTTTAACTTCAAAAGAAACACCGAAAATTAATCGCCTCCTGTGACATTCTTGAAAAAAGGGGGGGGGGGTTGAGGCGGGGAGGGGGGGGGGGAGGGCGGCAAGTTAGTCTTATTTTTTTTTCTTGTTCAAAATGGTACCCCGGAATACACATGGAAAAGGGGAAGGGTGTTAAGGGCTGAAAACGTCTAAAAATGTTGCATCTTAAAAAATTTGAATATTGAACTTATTTTAGGAGTGGAGAGATAAAGTTCAAAAAAAAAAAAAAAAAAAAAAAAAAGAGACCGTATGGCATAACAATTGAAAGTAAAAAACTGGAGAACTCGTCTCTTCCCTCATATTCGGATAGGAGACGTGAACTAGCGCAATCACTAAAGAATTATTCATTGCTTGTGGGCCGAACTGTTGTAGGAGAATTCTTGTAGCGGACACAGAACACGAAACAAACCGACATTCTCAACGATATGGACATGGAGTTTTGCCAGCTTATAAACTGTCGTGTTTCTCGTATACTCAGGCCATGTTATATAACAACATGATTTGGAGAAAACAGTAGAGAAAATGATGTTACTCTGTGATGAAAAGTCAGGGGTTCCAGCCGCAGGACGGTAGACAAGGGATATTTCCGGGCAGGACAGTTTACCGGGTGGGAACGTTGTCAGGGGACCGAGTGGCTTCCGGTGTTTCGTGATAAGATCGAGGGTCTGCTAGATGATGATGATGAGATCAATGTTCAGTATTCTTTCATCTAAATAATGGCGGTAGTTTTTATTTGTATTCATTTCATCTACAATTTAAGGTCAATGCCCAGATCATTGGGAACAAGTCCACACAGAGGAAACGGAAATACGTCATTACGTTCAGGAGAAAATGGCGCGCGGCGAAGGGTGATCAGATGATCTAGCCGACACTGAAAACATTCTATAGTTGCGGCTGTAAGCTCTATGATAGACTTGGTTAATGAAAACACCATTTTGTTTGGGCTGCCTGGTTAATTATACGTCTTGGTACAGTTGTTCCTGCGGTGATGCGCTGTCGTCATTCGGAGGTGAGATATTCAGATCTCGACAAGGTAACTATAGCTTTCGATTTTCAAATTGTCTAGTGCCCTTCTGTGTTTCTACTTCTTTCTATGAGTGCCAATCAATACATGTCATTTTGTTTGTATAACACTCAGAGGAAACACAAGACTGGCATATATGAGACTGCTATTCTTCTATACTTTCTTCTGATCACAGGGTAATTCTATTTCCACAACAGAACAAATAAATAACAACATGTCATATAATCTGCCCATGGAACTGAGCTGCATTGTGCTGGCTCGTATCATTCTAGATGCGCATATCGGACTGTGATTGGTCAGGTCTGGACATCCACTTGTCACTAGATCAATGCACACTGTTGCCAGTATGGCCAGTTACAAATCTCGTTGCCTTTACTCCCGAGGGTTTTTTGACAATTGTCCAGTTACCAGGGCTGCCAATGGGATTTTTTTGAAAAACCCAGCTTTTTTTAACAAAAACCCAAGCAATACATAGACAAAGAACAAGAAAACAAAATTAAAAACCCAGATTGTTAATAATGTACACAATTTATAGTTATGAAACGAAAAATTTACCACTTTTATATAAGGATATATTTTTTTTAAAAACCCAGATTACCCTAAGGCGTCAAATAAAAACCCAGATCTGGGGGGGGGGGGGGGAAACCCCAAGCGTTGGCAGCCCTGCCAGTTACTCATTATCTTCAGCTTGTTCCATCCCAGAGCAGCACTGTTCTAAACAGCCTTGCCATTGGTGAGATCTGCCCCTGGGTCACTGTTCTAAACAGCCTTGCCATTGGTGAGATCTGCCCCTGGGTCACTGTTCTAAACAGCCTTGCCATTGGTGAGATCTGCCCCTGGGTCACTGTTCTAAACAGCCTTGCCATTGGTGAGATTTGCCCCTGGGTCACAGTTGTTGGTCAGCTAGCATACTAGACTCTCTGCCAAGGGCAGCCAAATATATTTTACTCAGACACACGTAACTTGCCTGATTGGCGGCGTAAGTTCCGGATTGAATGGCGCCCTCCATGTAACCCACCCATTCGGTTGCCAGTTCTGTCCCGGCAAAGAAAACATTACCGACAGGTTCCCGGAGAATTCTGAAAGTACAATTAGAAAAATGATGACAGTTAAACCCGACTTTTCCTTAGCAGAGAACATTGCGTCCAGTCGATGGTTACTGAAACACTAAATATTTCCCCCCACTGACTATGAATATTGCACAAAGATGACAGTTGAACCAGAGTTCGCTGACTAAAGACAATTCTTACCGGATGAGAGTACTTGGAACACTAATTTTATAACACGCTGGGAAACTTTCAGCCCAGCATTAGTATAATTAACGTCAAACACAAGAAACATGTGTTTTTGTGAAAGGTTGATTGGTTACATTTGAACTTTGTGCTATATATCTCTTTATAGGCAATCTAGCAATATACCTTGATTAAGCAAAAATGCATTTTAATTACTTGTTATGAGGGGGAAAATATCTGACATAACACTGAATGAAGTGAATATTAATACATAATTTCTTCCATTTATATTCCACTGCAGTATAGAGATGTTTTTATAAACATCAACACAAATTTGTAGAAACACTATAGCAGAGAAAGGAAGCATATTGATACACAGGCATGTTTGTACAGGTTAATAAAGGAACAGGTAATCTTACCTGCCGTATGTTGTGAGGACACCTGGTGGCATTGGAACAGGTAATCTTACCTGCCGTATGTTGTGAGGACACCTGGTGGCATTGGAACAGGTAATCTTACCTGCCGTATGTTGTGAGGACACCTGGTGGCATTGGAACAGGTAATCTTACCTGCCGTATGTTGTGAGGACACCTGGTGGCATTGGAACAGGTAATCTTACCTGCCGTATGTTGTGAGGACACCTGGTGGCATTGGAACAGGTAATCTTACCTGCCGTATGTTGTGAGAACACCTGGTGGCATTGGAACAGGTAATCTTACCTGCCGTATGTTGTGAGGACACCTGGTGGCATTGGAACAGGTAATCTTACCTGCCGTATGTTGTGAGGACACCTGGTGGCATTGGAACAGGTAATCTTACCTGCCGTATGTTGTGAGAACACCTGGTGGCATTGGAACAGGTAATCTTACCTGCCGTATGTTGTGAGGACACCTGGTGGCATTGACAAGAAGTAGCATCCCCCGCTGTACGGTTCTCCGGTCCAGTTCTTTTCATCGTAGAAGATTGGCTGGGGGAGAGATTCACATGCTAGACACACACATCCAGGGGAGATTCACATGCTAGACACACACATCCAGGGGAGATTCACATGGGTCACATACAGTACCAGGGGAGATTCACATGGGTCACATACAGATCCAGGGGAGATTCACACGGGTCACATACAGTACCAGGGGAGATTCACAGGGGTCACATACAGTACCAGGGGAGATTCACAGGGGTCACATACAGTACCAGGGGAGATTCACATGGGTCACTTACAGAACCAGGTAGATTCACATGTGTCACTTACAGTACCAGGGAGATTCACATGGGTCACATACAGTACCAGGGAGATTCACATGGGTCACATACAGTACCAGGGGAGATTCACATGGGTCACTTACAGTACAGGGAGATTCACATGGGTCACTTACAGTACCAGGGAGATTCACATGGGTCACTTACAATACCAGGGGAGATTCACATGGGTCACTTACAGTACCAGGGAGATTCACATGGGTCACTTACAGTACTAGGGGAGATTCACATGGGTCACTTACAGTACCAGGGAGATTCACATGGGTCACTTACAGTACCAGGGGAGATTCACATGGGTCACTTACAGCACCAGGGAGATTCACATGGGTCACATAAGTACCAGGGAGATTCACATGGGTCACATACAGTACCAGGGGAGATTAACATAGGTCACATACAGTACCAGGGAAGATTCACATGGGTCACTTACAGTACCAGGGGAGATTCACATGGGTCACATACAGTACTAGGGGAGATTCACATGGGTCACATACAGTACCAGGGGAGATTCACATGGGTCACATACAGTACCCAGGGGAGATTCACATGGGTCACATACAGTACCAGGGAGATTCACATGGGTCACTTACAGTTCCAGGGAGATTCACATGGGTCACTTACAGTACCAGGGGAGATTCACACGGGTCACATAAGTACCAGGGGAGATTCACATGGGTCACATACAGTACCAGGGGAGATTCACATGGGTCACATGCAGTACCAGGGAGATTCACATGGGTCACATACAGTACCAGGGAGATTCACATGGGTCACTTACAGTACCAGAGAAATTCACATGGGTCACTTACAGTACCAGGGGAGATTCACATGGGTCACATACAGTACCAGAAGAGATTCACATGGGTGACATACAGTACTAGGGGAGATTCACATGGGTCACATACAGTAACAGAAGAGATTCACATGGGTGCTTTTTTAGAAACAAGGGAGAAACACATTATTTCTGTACATAGGAGATTCATATGCGTTTTCTGCAGAGAACCACGGAGATTCATGTGGGTTTAAAAAAAAACACGGGGAGAGGCTAGAAACACATAATACAGAACGGGTACAATGACGGGTTTAATAACCTGTGTGACCATTTTAAACAAAGCAAGTGTTGGGTAACAAACAAAACCTAGAGTTGCCAGAGGAGGTCACTGTGAGCACTCAACCACGCTGGCCAGTGTTCTAGGAGATGGCAGATACTCGAAGGACTCGTGGGGTGGATCTTGAGCTGCTTATTGCTTAAGATTGAAGGGGGTATATTTATGTTGCCAACAGTGGAGATCGATAAACAGCGAGGCAGCACCTTGAACCACACAACACAACAACGAACATGCAATACAAGCAGCTGTGGATATAAGCTCACACACAGATTAAATCTTGGGTTTGTGGTTAAATCCTTCGCTGACTCTAATCGTTGTCTTCGTGCAAACAGTGGGACAATCATCTGAATTCCTACTATGGTGACTTATGTGTCAGTGGGTTTCAGTAGCAAAGTGGTCAAGCCATATGCCTAGCGCTCTAAAGATTGCTGGTTCGTTTCACACGCGCGTCGTTTAGTTCCCGTGTGCAGTTTGTACGGAGGTCCATGAGGATCGTCGCCGGAGCCGGTGCAATCAGTCGAGCCTGTCGACTTTAACTGTCACCGTAACCTATGTATAAAGTTTCTTTCTTTGCCTGAGCCACACCCAATAATTTACTTTTCAAACGTTTGCAATAAAGCTGTTTGGATAGATTTGATTTGATCATGATTCTTAACAACTGCACATATATAGACAGATGAACAGACGAGCATACAGTCAATCTTTCTGGCTTACATTCAAGGCAACTTCGGACTGAAACACTTTAGCTAGGACACGGGTGATGTTGTCCTTCCGTTCGCTGAGCGTCATCTCCGCCGCCCGCCGGGCATTAGAAGCCACGATGAACCTGTGGATACATTACGTTGTGAGGGAGATGTGTTCTACTGTTGTGGGGGATACATTACGTTGTGAGGGAGATGTGTTCTCCTGTTGTGGGGGATACATTTCGTTGTGAGGGAGATGTGTTCTCGTGTTGTGGGGGATAGATTACCTAGTGAGGGAACTGTGTTCTCGTGTTGTGGGGGATAGATTACATAGTGAGGGAACTGTGTTCTCGTGTTGTGGGGGATAGATTACCTAGTGAGGGAACTGTGTTGTCGTGTTGTGGGGGATAGATTTCCTAGTGAGGTAACTGTGTTGTCGTGTTGTGGGGGATAGATTACCTAGTGAGGGAACTGTGTTGTGGGGGATAGATTACCTAGTGAGGGAACTGTGTTCTCGTGTTGTGGTGGATAGATTACATAGTGAGGGAGCTGTGTTCTTTTGTTGTTATATACAAACTAGTTGACCCACTTACATACGCGCGCACAAACACAACACCACACTAATACAAACACAGACGTGCGCGTACAAACACAGAACACGCACACCACACACACGCACGCGCCCATAAACACACAAGCAAATACTCCACACACACAATTACACGCGCGGGCTACACACACACACACACATGCCGATGAGTTCCAGTAGCTGGTTCATTTACCATGGCAACAGCTGAGGACTGCTTTGTTTTTTGATGGCACCTCTGCGTCTTTCCAGATGACAGTGTCACAATGTGCTGTGAGAAGGCATGGGACTCAAAGCCCATGGTGAAGGCGAGTGTGACTAGCGAGACCTAAACGCCACAGTTGGAGCATGATATTTCAGGACCTTTGACACCATCGAATGTATTTAGTGTGTTTCCTTTCAGACGCTCATCTCTCTTTCTTTCTGCAATGATTGCTTCCCTCATTATTTTTCCCTTCCTGATATGCCCTATCCATGCCACACGGTCCAAAGTATACTGCTCTTAGGAATCTACCAGTGTCTGTATCATTCATGCCCCGCTTGCAACATCTGTATATTATAGTAGAGGCCGACCTCGACACCGTGTAGCAGTCTCTAATTCACCATAGACGATGTCTTTATGGGCTCTCATATCCTGCTGTCTCCAAGTGTGACACAGTTACCTGAGCCCTCGTCAACTGAGCATTGACAAAACTGTTGTAATAGCTGCTCTTGTCAACACCTCAAGTTTTGTGATCTTATCTTGCCACTTGGTGCCAGGCAAGCTTCCATAACAACAACTTGAATATGATGAAATAGCGTTAAGTCGGATGGTTATAGCTTGGGTGCAGCTGAAGTGTGGAGACCCTTGTCTTACAGTACCATAGAGACCTGTCGACTGATTTTGTACACTAGCAATACAATCATGCCATTAACACGGCGCAGTTTTTAGCCAGCACTGATCAACATTAATAAATCTCATAACCCCACACCCACATGGTTTCTTGACTCTTCTCCTGCAATCGGAAATTCATGAATAAAATATGGGAATTTACCGTAAATATCACCACTGCTGACGTCACCACTTTCATCATAGACTATTTATTGTCAACATATAACAGAACGGTGACCTTACGCAACAATGGCAGGATTTGAACCGTCGGGCGCCGAGTTATCCATGGTGAAGGTTACCAAACTATCATCTTCGTTGATGTTAGAGGAGCCACACAGACCTGGAAGTGAAGTTTGGAAGTCAAGGCGATCGGCAACTGTTTTAACTGACTTTTTTCTTAAATCATATTCTTCGTCTTCCTCCTCTTCTGCGTTTGCTATTAAAATGACAATTGGTACCTTGTGTTGCGGTATACAATTTTTCAACGCCGTCGAAAAGTAAACGACAAGCTAGCCGCCATTTTCTTGACCTGGTCTAAGGTGCATTGTTACGTAGTCAGCATGGAGCTCCCCCCGCCCCCCCCCCCCAAAAAAAAAATTCTGTTTAAAACTGACAAACCGCGCCATTGAGACAATTGGAAGACGTAAAACAATAACCTCCTGATGGCAACAATTGAACATACCCACATCTATATACAGACCGTGGGCAGTCAGAACACAACAGTGTAGCCCAGTGGCAACGAATTTTGATTGGGCTGTGGGTTAGTTGCGTATCCTTTACAGGACGTTGCAGAACCAACCCCAACAGCTCCTGGCTGTTGTGTGGTTTTTCTAGGCCATTTACGTCCAGTAGTTTGTTATTTCTTCCTGGACGGTCGGCTTTCTTGATACCACTGTCAAAACCAACGCAAGGCGCATGGCCCGCAGTTGGGATCGAACCCGGCATCCCGGCATTACGAAGCGTTTGCATCGACTTAGCCACAGAGCCGACTAATTGGTCTGTAAGTGAACGAAAATCTGGTAAGCTGGGAGACCTGACGGTGGTTAAAAAAAAAAAAGACCAAAGAAAAACGGTCTCTTGATGCGTGCGCCGATCAGTTGTTTTGCGGTTACGTTTCCAGTATTAGATCTTAATTTTCGCCAGTAATTAAAATGTGAGCTAGATAACAGAGTGTAACATCACTTTGATTTCAGGTCGCTGGGAGCGAACTTTCACTTTCATGAGTTGAAGTGCTTATCACGTGGTGTGTGTGGACACGATGCTGATTGTTAAAGTAGTGTTATTAGTGAAGTAGCGTTAGTTTTGTGTTCAGGAAAATAAACAGAGGTTTAATGTGATGATTATAGTTAAGTTTCTTGATTCAAGATATAACTTGTAGTTCATGCACGCTGTCTGGCTAGGCGTTGCCTATGTAATGTGTTATTTGTGTTGTTGTTGTGTAACACAATTATTCACATATCCTCTACCAGGGCTATGGTCATATTTCATGGCTCCTGCACAGAAGAACCCTTATCTTTTCTCTAATTTTCCTTTTTCTGCTGTTCAGCGTGAGACTTCTTTCTTACTCTTCATACCATATTTTCTTTTTTCCTCATCTCCCTATTTCCTAGTTTTCCGTTTTTCTTTTTCCTGCCAGAGAAATTCCAGTTAGATCTGGAGTGAAACAGAAGTTTGTGTTATCACCACTATTGTTCATCACACATGTGGGCCAGATAGCAAAACAGCCAACCGACATATCAGGAAGCGGGTTTTCCCCCCTCAGACAGCCGAAGAATGAATAAATAAATACAACAAAGATCAAAGATCGGTAGACACAAGATCAAATAGCTTGGTTATTCAACAAGATAAGCAACAGACATGGCATCACAGCGAGCAACGTTACACAGATACAACAGTAACAGCTCCAGTGTTGGACCACGCACCTTATGGATCGATGGATCGCAGAAATATTGGAGTCACTGCAAGTGCTACATACAAAGTGAACAGAAGAGTCCCTTCGAGAGATACCTTCCTGTCCTGACCATGCGAACGCATTCCAGGAGTTGAGAAAATAAGAAGATACATGTACGCAAGGTGACGCATCTTGATCCTGTAAGCCAAACTAACGTGATGATAGTTGTGTTTGGAAACATGGCTTCTGTTTCCATTGACTAGAACATGGTCATGTGAACCTACCTTTCTCCTACCACCTAGAGCTGGGTGATGTGAACCTACCTTTCTCCTACCACCTAGAGCTGGGTGATGTGAACCTACCTTTCTCCTACCACCTAGAGCTAGGTGATGTGAACCTACCTTTCTCCTACCACCTAGAGCTGGGTGATGTGGCTACCTTCTCCTACCCCTAGAGTGGGTGATTGTGAACCTACCTTCTCCTACCACCTAGAGCTGGGTGATGTGAAACCTACCTTATCCTACCAACCTAGAGCTGGTGACTGTGAAACCTAACTTTATCCTGACACAACTAGAGCTAGGTGAGGTAGCCTACCTTTTCTACGTACCACTCTTGAGCTGGGTGATGTGAACCTACCTTTCTCCTACGATATAGAGCTGGGTGATGTGAACCTACATTTCTAATACTGTCTAGAGCTTGGTGATGTAAACCTATCTTTTTCTTACGGTATAGAGCTGGGTGCTGTGAACCTATCTGTCTCCTACCATCTAGAGCTAGGTGATGTGAACCTGTCTTTCTTCTACGGTACAGAGCTTGGTGATGTGAACCTATCTTTTTCATTATTTTTTTTAACAGTATATGCTGGGTGCTGTGAACCTATCTTTCTCCTACCACCTAGAGCTGGGTGATATGAACCTACCTTTCTCCTACGATATAGAGCTGGGTGATATGAACCTACCTTTCTCCTATGATATAGAGCTGGGTGATGTGAACCTACCTTTCTTCTACCACCTAGAGCTGGGTGATATGAACCTACCCTTCTCCTACTGTATAGACTGGGTGATGTGAACCTACCTTTCTCCTACCCCCTAGAGCTGGGTGATATGAACCTACCTTTCTCCTACGATATAGAGCTGGGCGATATGAACCTATCTTTCTCCTACCACCTAGAGCTGGGTGATATGAACCTATCTTTCTCCTACTACCTAGAGCTGGGTGATATGAACCTACCTTTCTCCTACGATATAGAGCTGGGTGATATGAACCTACCTTTCTCCTATGATATAGAGCTGGGTGATGTGAACCTACCTTTCTTCTACCACCTGGGAGTGGGGATTGAACCTACCCTTTCCTATGTATAGACTGGGTGAGGGAAACCCTCCCTTTTTCTCTAATACCTGGGGTTGGGGGTGATATAAAACCTTTTCTTTCCCAAATACCAGAGCTGGGGGATAAACTTATTTTTCTCCTACCACCTGAGCTGGGTGAAATGAACCCTATCTTTCTCCTACTCCCCCTAGAGTGGGGTGTTTATGAACCAATCTTTCCCCTTTAACTTAGACGTGGGGATATGAAATTACCCCTTTTCCTACCCCCCTAGAGGGGGTTTTGATTTAAACCCTACCTTTTCCTACTACCTAGAGCTGGGTGATATAAAACTCCCCTTCTCCACTACCAAGAGCTGGGTGATATGAACCTCCCTTTCCCTATCCCTAGAGCTGGGTGATAAAACCCTTACCTTTCCCTACGAATAGAGCGGGTGATATGAAATACCTTCCTCCTACGATATAGGCTGGGTGATATAAACCCTTCCTTTCTCCTACGATTTTAGAGCTGGGTGTTTAATAAACCCTTTTCCTTTCTCCAAGATATAGAGCTGGGTGATAGGAACCTTCCCTTTTCCCCTACGATTATAGAGCTGGGTGTTTATGAACCTCCCCTTTCCCCTACGATATAGAGCTGGGTGATATGAACCTCCCTTTCTCCAAAGGACATAGAGCGGGGTTATAGGGAACCCTTCCTTTTTTCCAAACGATATAGAGCTGGGTGATTGAAATCCCTTTTCTCCTAGTTTATAGAGCGGGGGTTGATATGAAAATACCTTTCCCCTTTACGATATAGAGCGGGTAAATGAACCTTCCTTTTTCCTACGAAAAAGGAGCGGGTGATATGAACCTTCCTTTTTTCCACGAATAGGGGCTGGGGAATAAAACCTTACCTTTCTCCTTCCAAAATGGCGCCTGTAGTAGAGAAATGCCTTCAGAGGGCAGCCCATGGGCACACTTTGGGATAAACGGGTTCGGCTGGGGGGAAACGGGGCGGGGTTTTAAAGGGTTTATCTGACCCTAAAGGGGTTTAGAGGGATAGTCAAAATCACGTTTTGCACTAAAAAGCAGAAACCCATTTTTTCCCTTTAGCGCACGAGAAACCTTAAAACTTTTTTAAAAAACCCCAAGAATGCTTTTTACGTTGTAAATTGAGCAAAATAAGGAAAAAACAACGGGGAATGCACAATGTATTGCCTGGAAATATTTCCCCTTAAACAAAAAGGGACATGGTTCTGCCAGGGTTTAAAAAAGGAATTGGGTTGGTTTTTTTAACATTTGTACTTCAGTAATGCAGGATTCCCCTTATCTGTTTAAAATTTTTGTAATTGTTACTTTTAAAAGTGTGGCGTTTAACTCCACCCGGACCGCCCCTAGCAAGCGACAAAAACCAAAAGGGGACACAAAGTACCAACCCTTCGAAAAAGAGAAACGCCCAGTACAAGTTCAGAAACCCCGTTCAAAAATTAAGTTTTATTAGGGCCCCCCACTTAAACCAGTGGGGATTTTTAAAAAAAACGAAACCTGTGTTCCATATTGGCAAAGGGGGATGCTAAGTTTTCACGGGTGGGGGGTTTAAATTGGCACGGGGATGCTAAGTTGAACCCGGGTTTATGTAAGTTGGCAGGGTGATGCTAAGTTGGCACGGGGGATGCTTTAATTGGGGACGGCTTTATGCCCAAGTTGACACGGGGGGATGCTAAGTTTGGCCCCGGGTGTGCTAAAATTTGGGACGGGTGATGTAAGTTGGCACGGCTGATGTTGTAATACATGTTACTGTAGTGTTTACCTCACGAGATACAGCCAAATGGTGGGCCGGCATAAATTGTGCAATCTTTATTGTGTGTGTTTTTTTTTTTTTTTTTTAACTGAAAAACCCTGGCAGAATTATAAGATTACCCTTTTTTAAGCAAATATTAGGGAAAAAACGGATGCAGTTGAAGCACCAGCAGCAGTGCGGGAACAGTAGTGGTGAGGGCGGGTAGCAGAAAACGATTTTTGGTGGAGGGTTTGCAATAGTAGTAGAGCAGCAGCAGTAAA